GATAATTAAAATCCGTCAATAAAACAACAAAATGCAGCGTGCAGAGGGACTCTCCTGCAATAGCATTAAACACTGCAGATAATTATATCGCAGCAGAGGTTGGAAAGGCAGCTTCTCCCTGCTCCAGAAGATCAATAAAACAGACCAATTCGTAATGAAGAAAATAGTCCAGGAACTGGATTTTCATCTCCCTATCATTAGATCTTTCGCTTTTAATGTTTTGCAAAGGCAGAAAAAAGATTCTGTTGAGGAATTCTTTGGTTTTGAATGGCAAACATGCTGAGGATTTAGCTTTGCTTTCATGCAGTGTTTTATTGAAAGCAAATGTGGTAAACCAGAGGTTTTACTCAAAACTTGTGGTTCTGTTCTCTCCCTCCACCCTCTGCTACTTGCTACTTCCCTTCCCTCTTCCTTTCCCCTCTTCCTTTCCTCTCTTATCTCATTACTTTTTCCCTTTATTTGCAATCCATCAGAAAACTCCTCTTAAAAGTAAAGTTTTGCTTTAATTCCTGTCTGTTTTCTCCGGGTTTTTGTTTTGTTTTGTTTTTTGTTTTTTGTTTGTTTTGTTTTGTTTTGTTTTGTTTTAATCTTGGCCCTTCCTAAAGAGTTGACTTGGAAATACCACATATTGACAGGAAAGAAGACACTTCTGGCTGACTTATTCACCACGACAAGCTTTTTCTTAAAGCAATCATCCAGAGAGGAGATTTCTGTGTTTTAAAAAAGAAAAGGAATGTCTTGCAGCGTTGCCATGAAGGATAATGAATTAAATCTGTCTCTTACTGTAAAACCATTAGAAAAGTATAATAGACCTTGAGAAACAGTCTTGGATATTGATGTCTTGGCTATATTAGCGTGTCCATTCACGTGATGACTGCCTTGCCTTTGCAAAAATAATACAGCCCAGGCAAAATAGATGTCTCAGTTGAGCATCTCTTTTATCTGGTGAGCATGAAAAAACCCCCTTGTGTGGGTTAGCACAAGCTGTGATCAGGGCTCAGTAGCAGCAAGGAGAGATGTGAGATGGGTATTTGGATCTCTAGGCTTTCTGCAGCCCCGCTCAATGTTTTCTGGTTGCTCTCCCCAGCATGATCATTGCTGCCCCTGTGATTTCTGGCACCCGTTCTGCTTGTCTGGGGCAGATGGTCTCCACCTGGGTGGGGGGACGTGGGCTTGTGCCTGCAATGATTCATGCTGAAGGGCTTTTGTTTGGGATCGATCTTTTATTTTCTGCTGCCTTGGCGTTTCTGTTCTGGCAAACATAACACCCCAGACATGTCTAGTCTGATGCTGCTGACATGTCTGTGCTATTAAAGTTTCTGGAAAGGCCTAAAATAAACATCACCTGCCAAACTATTATTTCTTCCTTTCTTTCTCTTTTGGGTAAATATATCAACAATGTCAGCATTGGAAAAAATCAAAGATGTCAGAGGAGGAATAAGCAGCTGTTTATATCTGAAAGTGCTTCTCCCTCGCTAGCACAAGATGACCTTGTCACTTAAAAATCATAAAAATGTTGCTGGGGAGAAGGAATGGAAGTGCACTGAAGGGAAATGAAGTTTGTTTTTTGCTTTTTTGGGTTTTTTTTCTGCTGTTGTTTTTTTAAATCTGAGTTTAGAGTTGCAGACAGAGTTGAGCCCTGCAGCTGGTACTGAACTCAAATGTTTCCTTCAGTGCCACTGCTGCAAGTGGAAAACAAATACTGCTGACTTATTATTCTCTCACATTAAACTCTTGAAATTCATTTTTCACTGGAGCAGGGAGAAATTCTGTAAAAATAATGCTTGTTTTCTATTACAGTCCATGTGTTACACTGAATTGACACCTTACTTCTAAGATAAACATTTTTCCATATTTGAAAGATAAAACAGGCACCTTGCTAAGTGGGATTAAATGGCGTTAGAAAGACAACATAACCACCTTTTTTTTTTAGTGAGTGGGACAGTTTACATGCTTTCTAGGAAATAGAGTTTTTTTTCTCTAAAGCATGTATGTGAATGATCTGTTTCTAGGATGCTGGGTGCTTAAAGGCTGCTGAGTACCTCCCACTGATTTTTGAGAGGATTTGGGGTGTTTTCCTTCCTTGAGCATACAGCCTTCTGTCTCTCAATTTGGACAAAAAAGGGAGATCTCTGATGATGCTTCATTTTCTGATTTCTTCTGATTTCTTGGTGACCTTCTGTGCCCCAGAGAAGAAGTAATTTTGCAAATAAGAAAAGTTATAGACATATGCCTGCTAGGAATTGGATGGAGCCCAGCTCATCAGGCACAGAATGCCAAGCACCCTTCCCGCAGTAATGACTTTATGGAATTAGAGCCTTGGGCAGGATTTGGAGGTAGAGGTGAAAATTGCCATATCCCTCAGTTGTCTCTTCCTGGCCTGTGGTTGCCCTAATTTGTCTGAACATATTAGAAGAGCCCGCTTTGCCATTAGTGCCAAGAAATCACAAGATTCAGTGTAAAATCCCTTGATTTGGAAAGAAGAGCGGTGCTGCTCGCAGGCTGGTTTGCTGGGAAGGGAGTAAGGCATGATTACGTGTTTTTCCCTCCCTTTCCAAGGCTTTGGATGCATCTTCTTTTATGAATCTCCTCTGTCACTTCTTGTGTGTCACTTAGTGTCAACTGGGCCTTTAATCTTTCTGGAATGAAATATGATAAAGCCAAAGAGACTGAGAAGCTGTTACAAAAGTGGGAAAAAAAAAAAAAAAAGAACAAAACCATGGCAATCAGGGTTGTATTGATGAGTGTTTTGTACCCTTTCCTCCCCTGAAAATTTTTGTAGGCTGATGTCTGACAGTAATAGATGGTTGAATGGGTGTTAGTGTTTCTAACCTTTTTAGTCCAAATTGCCTTCTTCCTTTAAAGTGTACCGGAATGAGAACCGGCATATTTCATCTTGAGGCCTTAAAAAGAAACTCAAAATGCCAAGTACAGAGTATGGTTTTGCTGTCACTATGAAATATGCTGAAATATATGTGGGAAAGATTTTTTTTTTTTGAGCCCTTTTTATTTTTTTTCTTGGCAAATTACATGGGCTGCTGCCACCACTTTGTATTTTCAGATTTTGGGTAGAGTTCCTCATTTTGTTTTTTGTTGCCTTTCCCCAGGTGGCACTGTCAATTTGTTCTCACCTTCTTTTGAAGTTTCTGTGCTGGGTAATCATGTGTTTTGCTATCCCCCATCCAGGGCACTGCAAATGTTTAAGGAGACTGTGGCACTTAGTGGAGTTAGGGTGCTAATGTATGTTTTCTGCTGCGTTCCCCCCTCACCTGTTATCTCATGGTGCTTGTATTTTTGATGATATCCCAAAATGCACTACACTAAAATGAAGTTGCTGTTAGCAGCCTGAAGCATTTGGGCTTCTAACCCGAATTTTCAAACGTTGGTTTCAAACATCCTAGTTGTTTCGGATCCTGACTCAATTTTGAAATGCCTCTTTGTGCCGTTGCTCTTATTCTATGTAGCATGGCCAGGATTGTCCCCAAACCCAGAGAAACTATTGATTAGGCCAGTGTGACTGCTTGTTGAAAGGCACGTTGAGCCCGGTAAAGGCTTTTTGTTGAAAGTGAGGAGTTGGATGCTGTTCAGTGCCTCTCCTGGAAGGCTGCCTGCTCTCACAGCCCTAGCTACCTGTGATGTCCCCGCCAAGCCACCTGCCTGCCAGCAGTCAGGCTGAGGACAACAAAGCCATTTTTTTTCTGTTAAAAAAATTATTTTTCTGTGTATCTGATAAAACTAGTTGCTTGCTGTGATAACTGTCTTCTTTCAACAAGAAAACATGAAAATGTCCCAGCCCTCTGGATTATCTGTTATCCAGCAAACGAATCTGATGAGCAAATGTATCAGCTCTTATTAATCTTTCCATGAAATTAAAGAAATTATGGAGCTTAAGGCAGTGACTAATGAATCAATTTTAATTTATGGGCTCAAATAAAATCCTCATTAAGCCTGACAAACTGTAGCCTCAGGTAAACACAAAGCATTTCCACTGTGGAGCTAAATGAGCTCTGTGCTGGATGTTGTGGCTTCTGCCAGAAGAGCAGCAGGGTCAGAGGTCCCTTGTCTTGTCGCAGGAGGCAGCAGCTTGGAGAAGGTAAATGCAGTGGTCCAGCCCCTAGGAGATCTGCTTCTGGCATGAGGAAGGATAAATATCAAAGACTAATTATATTTCTTTCTCTCCCTTGATTGTTTTTTTTTTTTAAAAAAAAAAAAGTGAAGGAATTTTTTTTGCCACTGAGTCATTTATAACTAATGCAAGCATGTTGACTATGTATGAAAAACTACTATTTTGTTTTCTAGACAGCATATTTGGTGAACAGTTCCTTTTCCTCTCAGCATTACTGTTTCCAGCCTCTGCTTAGCTCTAAACAGCGTTATTCAAGATGACTGTTTTTGTGGGAATGTTTTATAAATATTTTGTAAAAGCTATTTATGTGTACCATAAAACATAAAATGATTACTTTGCCACAAATGTTGTTGCTTTAGGTTTTGCTTTTCATTTGATTGAGATGCTGATATTTGAGGTTAGTTGGGGTCAGTGTGATGGGGTTTGGGGTTTCAAGAAGTAAAGGACCACACACTCATTTTTGTGTAAATCTTTGGTTTGCTTTTACAGAAATGCCTCCTGGTGCTGTAAGAACTACTTGGAGGGGAAGGGGTTCTGCCACCATATCTCTTCCCTTTCGAAAGAGCTGCTTCTTTATTGTCACTTCTGAAATCAGAGCACATTTTGTGCACAGGAAAAAGAGTTATCCTAGGGGTATGGATTAGCTGAAATTGAGTTAGCATGCAAGAAAATGGCAGCCTAAAAAGCAGTGGCAATAAGCTGATGTGATGCATCAGTGTTCGCCATCAGCCTGTGTGCTCTCCCCTGGGGAGCTTCCTGAGCTGATGATGAAGACTCAGTTCCAGTATCTTCTCTCCTGTTGATGCTGTGCCAGAAGTCGTGCCAGACTTGTCTTCTGAACTCTTTTTTTTTTCTTTCTTTTTTTGCTTTTCAGATGCAGTAATCGGACCCAATGTGCTGTTGTGGCCGGCCCTGATGTGTTTCCAGACCCTTGCCCTGGGACGTACAAATACCTGGAGGTTCAGTATGAATGTGTCCCTTACAGTATGTATCTTGATATATTTGCATTTGTTTCTTTAACAGAGAATTAATTTAACGTTGAGAATGATCCAGCCTTGAGCCTGTCTGTTCTTGCCTTGGGGGCAAATGAACACTCGATGACAAACTATGTGCATCATATGAGACAGAGCTGATAAGATATGAAAAATTGCCTTCTGTGCAAAGTTTGTGCTTACGTTAAAAACATCCTAATAATGCCCCATGTTTGCCTAGCTGCGCAGTGTTAGAGTTACAAGTCACCTTCTGGAAAAGCCCCATTAGTGAAAGCATACAGTAAGAATGAAGCATTATTGATAGCTTATAACTCCGCTTTCCAGACTTTCATTCTTGCACTTGAATGACAGTGCACTTTGTGCTGACCTATGTCTTTTTAACAGATGACATTTGATAAGTGCCTTAAATACAGTATTGTATCACTAAGGAGACAGAAAGATAATGTTTTGGGAAATTTGTTTTTTGATGGTAGAAACAGCTAATTTATAAGCTTCCAAAGATATGAAGGCAAATTGCATACTTGCCATTTAGCCTGAATTTTGGAGTGTAAAAACACAGATATGTAAGTTTACAGCAATATGTGCTGAATGGGAAATGTCAGAGTTGGAAAAAGTGAGGTGTATCTCAGAACTTGCTTTCTGTGGGAACCGAATTCTTAGATCCAGTTATGGTCCTAGAGAGTTGAACCCTCATCTCCGAGCAGAGGGGTCCACATCCTTTGAGGGATGGGTGCACAACTTGTCTGTATTGTGTTTTTCTACACAAAAATGTGGAGTTTCTAAATGTGGCAAGGGATTTTTTTTTTACGGGGTGAGCTATTAAACTCATGGAAAGTGTGACATCAAGGGCTTAAAGTCTGCCTCAGCAAGCTCATACCAAGTGAGCTAGCTCAGGCAGACCATTTGGAGGTATTCTGCTCTAAATGAGGCCTTTCATTGTACAAACAGCAGTGTGTATGGGGAAGGTGGGAGGGGGGATAGGTTTCTTCTTATCGTAGCAGGTTGTATTTTCTTATGATTTGTGATTTGCATGAGGCATGCTGTTCCCTCCCGAGTCTGGACTGGTAAAGCAATAGCCATTACGTAGTACCCCTCTGTAGCCTTTGTTGCATATAAACAAAGAGGAATAGTGGTGCCTTGTGAGAAAGGTAATATGTGGATATTGTGCCCTGAGGTGTTAATCGGCCTTGTGTACAAGATGTAAAATAACTCTTGAGAGAGGTTGCTCAGTACAAAACGTACAGCAGGGACTGAATGTGTTTTAATGATCTGGATGAAATGAGGAAAACAAGACCAGCAAGCTGAACTACCTCTACAATTAAGTTAGTGGCTTTGATGACCACTTGCTTTGTTTATGAGTCCAAGGTACTGCCTACGAGAGAAGTTAGGGTGGAAAATAAGGGACAAACATGCTGTAAATAGGGATTCTCATCTCTTGAGTTTGCTGTTCTGTACCTTTCATTGCCTGGGAAACTTTGAGTCAAATCTTAATGAATTGTTACTCGGTGTAGCACCATGGAAGTTGGCTGGTGGGACTGCATTCATGGCAGCTGTGCATGTTCACCTGTAGCAATGTAGTGGGAAATGTGAAATGTTCTCATAGCCTTGACTCTTCCTGACTTTGTTACTGCCTTCCACTTCTTATGGGGAAGGGTGAGGCCTGGCACAGGGGATTGGCAACGCTGTATCTGGACCAAAGCTGTACCTGGTGAATGAAATCTATTTCCCCCTTGGTGAGGCCTCTCCCATTTGCCATGGTTCAGCTGGGTGCTGGAAACCAATTGGGTTCTTATCACTGAGCCCAGGCTCTTCAGCCTCCTGTAGCCCAGTTTTGGTCGCAACCCAAGTCCTTGCAGACCCAGTTTCCTTGGCACTGCTGCCTGCACCAAACCACACTTCAGCGCATGGCTGTGGGAGAGGAGCAGACTGTTGTCTCCCTTCCTCAGCCACTGGTGTTGGCTCCACAGCTCTATGCACCAAGCCCTTGGTGAGTAGCAGCACCAGCCATATGGCCATCTCCTAAAGACTCAGCAGCTGCATAACAAAGGAATTAATATTTCAGCAGGCACTTAAATTTGTGTGCAATTTCAGCTTGCTCCATCAGGTTGAATGCTTTACTCCTTAAGGTTTTAGTAAATGGTGAGATGCAGTTTAGCCAAGTGCTGGCTTAGAAGCAGAGGGGAGCTTGCATGCTTCTCGACAGAGCAGCATTTAAGAGTCATCTTTAGCAGATGTTAGCACTGACCATAGATGCTTACCTCAATGAAGTGCTAGTGTATACGCTGCCTTGGAGAAAATGATGGAACTTTAAACTCTGGCTTGGGTCACTCATTTCTCTTGTGGTTTTATGTGTTTATTTTTAATTTATTTCTTAGTTCTTCCACTAACATGGATCATTTTCAAGAATAAAACATCCCTTTTCCTCTCAGGAGAGAAAGACCTTTCTTACCTTCAGTAACTATTTTAAAATGCCCTTTTTACCCTCCCTGTGGCATCCCTGTGTGCTCACTACAGATGCCCCTGACAAGGAGAGTTTTGTGAGGCTGCAGTTACTCTCAGCACATGGGGAAGATAGAGATGACTACAGAGACAGTTCCATCCTCTCCTCATTTTCCTGGTCCTGCAGTAAGTTTATGTGATGACAGATGCTGCCTACAAAAATGGATGTCACAACAAGAACCGCCAGTCAGTTTTATGTTGATAGACTTGAGTGGCATGAGTTACTGTATTTTTCTGGTATCAGAAACAGTTACCAAATTTTTTTTTAAGTACCACTCCTTCTCTTCTGAAATACCAAAATCCTAAATCCAGTTTTCTTCCAATTGAGTTTTATTGTAACAGTTATCAACCAGGGCAGCTTCTCCATGGTCTTCCATTAAATATGTGGTATTGTAGACACCATTGCCAAGTTGCGGAGACGTGGCAAGCTGCAGAAGGATGTCTGAAACTGCACATTTGGCTACATTACAATGTGTGTGTGTATGAGAAGCCCACTTTGTAAGGGTTCCTGTGACCCAGTGTTCTGCTGTTATTTCTCAGCATATCCCTCTCCCCTTTTCCTACAACTGTTAAATGTGAAACCTGATGGAGGTGATTTTGTGAAGCTGGGTCTTACTCTCACTAGATATACTTTGTGTATATCTTCTTCTGGTGCTTTTAAGCCCTGTTGTCATCACTACAGTGCATCTAGGAGTACAATTTTCCTTATTTCATCTTTGTAATATTCTAAGGGACTTCCCATTTTACTCATGAGCCAGTGCAGGAAACAGATGAGAAGTTTATCCACTGCTATGCATGGGACTGGTGACAAGCAAGAGACGCCAGTCTTGCACGATCAGTGCTGATAGGAGAGCTGCTGAGCCAGTTGTCATTGCAAGTAGCCACATTTTTTATTTATAATCTGATAAATCTAGTGTGCTGGCTTTGCCTATGCAAATATAGCTTTCATATTGTATACTTGTCAGCTCAAGCCATCTGTGTCTCAGTAGTCCTGTTTGTATCTCTGAGATGGAAGACGCATACCTCAAGCTCACTGAGCTCCTTCCCTCATTCTCTGGAGCACCCATGCTATATACTGTGGTGACATTATTTAAAAGAGCTTGGGGCATGGCCAAAATACTGTTCTGGGTTGGTCAAACCTAAATTCAGACTGGGGAGATTTTCTGATTTGTGGACGGTTGTTTCCCACTTTCTTTGACTGAAACTGGGGATCGTCAGCACTTGGATTCTATTCATGCTTGTAATACGGTATTAGTTGGAAGTGTTGAAGTATTTTATCTGTTCGTTTTTGCCTATAGACAACCACACAGGCTCCCAATGTTGTTGTTGAAAAGGAAATTTTGTTTGCTAGGTGAAACTTCAGTTTTTCCTGCATTCCTGTCTCCTAGGTTGTAGGTTCTGGAGTTAAACAGAGAAACTTGTGCACTATTGTCCTTTAAAACTGAGCTGTTTTACTAAAGAGTAGGAAAGCATGCAGGAGGCTGGAGATTCTGATGCACAGAACAGGACAAAGTGGAAGAAAGAAGGGAGCTCCACAGGGACAAGCCTGTTTGCTGCAGTGATCGAAAGGAGGGAGCGTGAGCCATGCCCTGGGCATGGCAGGGGCTCACCTATCATATCATGCTGATAATTTACCTCTTCCAGGCAACAAGTCTACTGATGGGTTTTAATATTGGAAAGATCTATTCCAAGGACTATTTCCTGCAAGGGAAAAATGTTTGTGGCATCTGAGAAAGGATAAATTGTCCTTCCTTTTCATTCCTCTGGGTAAACAGGCTAATAAATGTTAGGGAAGGATTGAGTTTCTTTGGGGCTTACAGACAGTTTCCTAGTTTCTTAGTGCTAACAAGGAGAAGGAACACAACTCTGGAGTGTTGTTCACCTCTTTTTTTCTTAAGTTTTTTTTTTTTTTTTTTTTAAATATGGAAGCTGAAATCACATTTCCCAATTGCTGTATTGATAGAAGGAAAGGTCACTTCTTTGCTAGAAATATTCCTTTTATTGCAGACGGAAGAGTAGATGGACTCACATATCAATAAAAGTGAGGGATGGTGTGATGTGGGAACAGAATTCAATAAAGTTTTATTGTATCACAAGTGGGCTGAAGTGCATTTAAAAACATTAAATGAAGGCTCACAATATCTGCTCTGCTGGACCTTAGGGCCAGTGAATAGACAGATAATTGAATAATGACATTTTTAAGAGAATACAAACAGTAGAAAGCAAACTGATATTTTCATTGCTACAAGATTGCTGGTGAAAAGGGAAAGGGGTGGAGAAAATTACAGTCCGAAATCAATGTAAGGAGACCACTTTTTTCAAAGAACACTGTTCTTAATGATTTCTGGGGTGCTGTAAGACCCTCTAGGCTTTCCCTTTTGCATTTTATTGACACTTTCCCCGTTGTTGAGAAGCAGTGCTTGCCTACGTTGCCTTGTTTTGTTAAACAAACAGGTTTGCGGCTTCTCCAGTTTTATTTTGCTGTATTTTCGT